ATCGCCTACCACAGCGTCCACCAACGTCCGGGAGTAGTGTATGGGGAAATAGGAGGGTAGCAAACAGCCTGATTAGGCGTCGTGAGATTGTGGTTCGTGCAACCGTTTCGTACAACTGAACCACCGTACATTGAATTTCGTAATTCTGCTTTAGCAGTTGTGCTTGGTTGCACACGCCGCAATCTCGCGACGCCTAATCCAGCTGCTCACTTCCCTCCTATTTCCTCCGTACTCTCTACTCCCGGTCGCTAGTGAACGCTGGCAGAGGCTAGTAGACGCTAGTAGACGCTAGATCGATAATTGCACTTTCCTGGTCGCTTACGCTGCCGGGCGTAAGAGGACGCGGTCGCAAAGTATGAACGCAGCCAAATGCTTAAAAGTCCAAGGCATAATATCAGATCCGGGAGGAAAGGTTTTAAGTTTACCTATCGCAATTTCCTGGCCTTGTGTCGAAAGCAGTGCAGAGCTTGCTTCAGTGGCACTGGTAGTCAGCCTAGTTGTGGTAGAACCTAGAAATGCTGAATGGGGAATGAAAGCTCTCCAACTGGTAATACCAGAGCTATATGGAAGGATAAAATATCTGTTTGCTTATCACACTTCGCTCAGCTTGTGTCGAAACCGAGAACTCTTTTGTGGAACTTGTGCCGCTGCTCAACAAATATTTCGATGATCCGGTACTCTCAGTCAGCCGGGTTGCGTTAGGACCTTAAACCATCAACAATAAGCGTAGTGAAGTTTTTTTTTCACCACAATAGCGAAAAGTAGCTCACTTGTCGTAATTTCACTAATTTGCGACGACCCAGCGGTTTGTTCGATGGAGCTTGCGTCAGTGCTTATTGGAAGTTGTCTTGATGTTGCGGTACTTATAGTGAGACCTGAAAACGTTCAAAGTGAGGTTGGAGTATATTGGAGTAAGGTGGTGTATGCTTATCTGTTGCACTTTGCATAGTTTGTGTCGAAACCGCAGTTTCCATGGTGGGGCTTGTTTCGCTGCTCAGTGGGTGGTGCTCTGACCCTGTTTTGGTAGCTGATATGACTGTGGGAGAACCTAAAACAATAGATGCCATTTGCTATGAAACCATTGACTTCACAACATTAAAACTGTGGATCAAAGAGCTTCACAACATCGGAGCCTTGGATCAAAGAGTTTCAGCTCCCTTGTAAAAGTTTCCTTACCTTCTGTAGAAACAGTGGACTCTTTGGTCGAGATTGTCGTACTACTTAGTGGATAGGCTATTGATTCGATACTGGTGACCAACCCAGTTGTTTGATTATCTCGAAACACTTTTTATAAGTACGATGTTCAGAGTCAGAACTCTGTACCTCCTCCTTATTCTTGGCTTACCTGCGGTACTCTGCTCGCCTTCAGTCGAAACTTCGGATTCCTCGGTGGTGAGGGTGTTCGTGGAAACGCAAAAAACGCTGAAAATCTGGCACTTTGTGTCAGATCGTTGCGCCTGGACCTATCGAGCACGATGACTAGATTATAATTTGCGAAGGAAGAGTTGCATTGTTGATATAACTCGTGTTTGAAGATGTAGTCATGTGGGTAGGTCATACTTTTTGGTACTGTCAGTGGTCTTAGTAGTTGCGGCCATATCTGTGGTGAGTGGTAAGGAAGCTCATATTTGTTGTGGGGATGAGGCCACCTTAGCATCATGAGAAGAACGAGATTTCTATGAATCGTTCTTTACACCACTCGTGATTAAACAGTAAGCAGGATAGTAGAGGGTTTGCCAAAGGAGTGGTTACTTTCACTCATTCGCTTGGTGTTTTTTCCGAGGCTTGAGGTCGACGCCGTTTCACTGGTGACATTATGTGCTGGAGCGTCGGGAAGGCGATATGGTAGTCAATTCAAGAGTGCTGGGAAAGCGTGCCGCTAAACGAAGAAGGCAGACTCAACTCGTGTGTGAGGACTGCTCGCTTGTTAGCGACTCTGTGTGTTTGCGGTCATGTTTGGTTTGTTGGATTGATATGGCTAGCGTTTGTTAGATGTGCAGTGTTGAGCTAGCACTTGTGGTCGAAATGATTGCAGGTGGGCCTAAAGTCAGCGTGTTATGGGAACACAGTCGTCTACATTTCATACTGAATGTTGTAGAAAAGGTTAGTGCTCAATGTTGGTTCACTTGTCGTTCCTCCCTTCTCCTGCGTCGTCTCGGTGATTTTTTCGGTGGTCGTAGTCGTACCATATCTTAGAGAGTACAATGCAGTTTCACTAGCTGTCGAGGGAGTGATTTCATGTGTACCTGAAATTTTTTGAGGATGATTTTACCAGACAGGCAACACGCTTGTCTCATATCTCATTCGAAATCGTACATGTGATTGATTGCCAACGTTTTGGGTTGCCAAGCGCCCTGTCTGAAAGTCCCCCTTAGAAACTGTTCCGTTGACATGATTCCATGTTTTAGCAGATCCTTCGCAACAAAAAAAAGATGATGACAGAATCGGAGTCGTTGCAGCGGTTGCTTAGCGAAATCGCTAGGCGTGCGAAATGGATAGAAAAGAACTCGGAAAGAGAAAAAAAACGTACGGGTTCCAGATAGTCCGTACGCTTCGACCACATTATTAATCTGCACTGAAAATATGAAATTCAAACAAGCTCATTTTGCGCTGAAGGTTCCATTTCCAGCATTAAACAGACATCGAATCTTCAGTATGCTTCGCTAGCCTTCCGAAATTGATACACATCCCTTTTACAGGTAGCAAATGGTAGATGGGGACCAATTCTATATCTGACCTGCCGCGGTCAAATACTTGACCTACTACTTTGTTGGGTCGCTAATTCGGAGGAGTGACAAAAATCGTAGTGAAAGCTCTTATCGGAGGCAAAGCAAAAATTTCCGAAAAAAAGTCTCAACGGGGAGACGTGCCTCTTCTCTTGCACCTGAAGCGGGACCTATACCACATGGCCACGTTGGCACTGGCATGGCAGCGCTCAACGCTGCTCACTTGCCAACACCCCAGTTGCAGCAACCTCTGACTACCCAGAACTCGTTCGGAGGACTTCGTTGCACTTTAAATCTGTATATTCGCATACAGCATTCAAAGCTTCATCGACGAGTTCTGGGTAGTCAGAGGTTGCTGGAAATGGGGTGTTGGCAAGTGACCAGCGTTGAGCGCTGCAATGCCAGTGCCAACGTTTATCCAAAGATCCATGGATTTGGGTCCAGGCCCTTGTGGAAACTTCTAAATCAACAGCAAACAAGAGCGCATT